GATGCAAATACACTGCAGGTAGTTCAGGGTTTTTTTTTATTAGATTGATACCTGCAATGAGTGGATTGCCTTATGAGGAAAAATTAGACAGACAAAACTTGTTTTCCAAATCAGGATGGTGTGTGGCTTGGAAAGGAAATTGTAGGTGTTGTGCTTCTGCATTTTCTGCCCTTGTCCATGTAAAGTGGTAGAGGTCACAGGTTTGGAAGATGCTGTTGAAAAAGCCTTGATAAGTGGCTTAAAATTAAACAGTAACTAGACCAAATAATGATTCAGATGGATTTGTAAATGTTGTTTCACCTAATCCAGAAGATTATCTTGCTTTTGGGTTGGAAGTGTATGTACATGTATATTCACAAGACCATATGGGGTAGGCTGATGAATCAATTGGTATAAATAAATGATTGCCAGGAGAATACAAAAATGTCACATCATTTTCCAGTCGTAGAAAACCTGCTGGCTGAATGCATTCCCTCACAAACTGAAACGTCTTTCAGAGTATAAATAAAAAATTGAACCAGCTCCAAACCCTGGAAAGACATGAAAATAAATAATTTATTGAACAAGTGAGCTGCACACCTGATCTGCTGGCTGACGATTAAGTAAATAAATCCATCAGATAGTTCAAGTTTAATGAGTACTTTTTCTGCATCATTCCCGCTAACATACATGATAGGCACGTGATATGAATACTAGAACTTCACCTATTTAGTACAGAAATTTCTCCCTTGCTTACAGGGCATTACACTCATTGACATCTCAAAGAAGAAAAATAATCAGTTACCAAACTTTTGCTATTTCCAATCTAGACTCAACAAAAGATTCAGCATAACCTCACCATCAAATTCATATCCATCCTTATAACACAGCATAAAAACACAGAAGATTGGAGCAGGAGGCAGCCATTCGGCCCTTCGAGCCTGCTCTGCCATTCATCACAACGTCCAACTCAATAGCCTAATCCTGCTTTCTCCTTTGATCCCATTTGCCCCAAGTGCTAATATCTAACCACCTCTTGAATACAACAATGCTTTGGCATCAACTACTTCCTGTGGTAATGAATTCGACAGGCTCACCACTCTTTGGGTGAAGAAATGTCTCCTCATTGCCATCCTAAATGGTCTACCCTGAATCCTCAGACTGTGACTCCTGGTTCTGGACACACCCATGGTCGGGAACATCCTCCCTGCATCCATCCTGTCTAGGCCCGTTAGAATTTTATAAGTCTCAATGAGATCCCCCCTCATTCATCTGAGCTCCAGTGAAAACAATCCCAACCTAGTCAGTCAATCTCTTGTCATACATCGGTCCCACCATCCCTGGAATCAGCCTGGTAAACTTTCATGGCACTTCCTTGAGAGAAAGTGCACCCTTCCTCAGAAACAGGAGACCAAAACTGCACATAATACTCTAGGCATGGCCTCACCAAGGCCCTGTATAACTACAACACATCCCTGCTCCTGTGCTCAAAACCTCTCATAATGAAGGCCAACATACCAGAAGGGCAGATATCAGGGGCCATAGTGCATTTGCTAAGCCTAGCACACCAACTCTGCCCATTGAGCAAATTATCTAGTTTGTTTCCATTTTTATTAGCAAAAGCTTCTTAATGCAGAATCTAAGGATAGCAAATACTGTGTCTCAATTCTAAGTGCAGGATGAGACAAGACAACACTCCTTCCTTGAGTAGCATTGATGGGAGCATTTATTCGATGCGAGTTGTGATTTTGTTCCAGAGGGAGAGAAAAGGTTCTTTCTGGTTGCAGTGCAACCTTAAAAATGCTTGCTCCTCCTATTAAAAACAAGCTGGTAGATTTCCCATGCGTATGCACTGATGAGATCTGTCACTGTTGAGGTTGGTTGGCTCACTGAGCTGGTTTATTGTCTCTGCCTAGCCTGTCCCAGGATCACTCATCTCAATCCACATGGACAAGGAGAACCACGACTTCGACTGGGACAACACCAAGATCCTGGGACAGGCTAGGCAGAGACAAGCACGAGAATTCCTGGAAGCATGGCACTCCACGAAGCATGCTATTAATAAACACATTGAACTCGACCCCATATACATTCCACTACGGAGGAAACCCGGAAGTGAGGCAATCCATCGCAACGGACACCAGAGTTTAAAAACCAGGCGGGAAAACACACCGACGCTTCATCAGAGGCTGCACTGAGGATGTTACCAAGCACAGTAACAAAACGTCTGCGGAACAACAAACCAGCTCGGCGATCCAACCAACCTCAACACCCACAACCCGAGCTACAGATCTACTCCAAAACCTTAGATCTGTCACTAGCTGTTTATTCAAGTGGCATCTGACCCAATGAAATCAGATTTACCATCTTAATTGCAAGGATATATCTGCAACCTTAAAAGAGTAAACATTATTTTTCACGTTAAAAGTAATCCAGTACTGAGAGAGTTATTGCTGACAGAATAATGAATTGCTGCACCATGGCATCGTGTACTGAGATACAAGGTGGCACTCATGATTCCACAAATGGGAATCCTATAGTTGAACTCCACTGTCAGCGATGAAGGGAGAGCAACAAAGAGCAAAACAGGGAATTATAGACCAGTAAGCCTAACATCGGTAGTAGGGAAATTTCTCAAATCCATTGTCAATGATTTCATAACAGAGCATTTAGAAAGCAGTGGCAGGATCAGACAGAGTCAGCATGGACTTATAAGGGGAAATCACGTTTGACAAATCTATCGGAATTCTATGAAGATGTAACCAGTAGAGTTGACGAGGGGGAGCCAGTCGATGTGGTATATTTGGACTTTCAGAAAGCGTTTGACAAAGACCCGCATGAGGGATTATTGTGCAAGATTAAAGTGCATGGGATTGGGGCAAGTGTATTGAGATGGATAGGAAACTGGTTGGCAGATAGGAAACAAAGTAGGAATTAATAGGTCCTTTTCAAATTGGCTGGCAGTAACTAGTGGCATTCCTCAGGGATTGGTGCAGGGACCCAGCTTTTCACAATATATATTAATGATTTGGATGAGGGATCAAAATGTAACATCTCAAAGTTTGCAGATGATACCAAGTTGGGTGTGAGGGTGAACTGTGACAAAGATGCAAGATCTTTCAGGATGATCTGGACAAGTTAGGTGATTGGGTAAATCAATGGCAGATGCAGTATAATTTGGATAAATGTAAGCTTATTCACTTTGGAAGCAAAAACAAGGTGGCAGATCACTACCTGAATGGCTGTAAATTGGGAGAGGGGTGTGTGCAGTGGGACCTGGGTGTCCTTGTGCACCAGTTGCTGAAGGTAAGCATGCAAGTGCAGCTGGTGGGGTAAAGAAGTACCACTTATTCCAAAAAAAGATTTTCCTCACATTGCCACTGCTTCTTTTGCTGATGGCCATAAATAAGTGCCCTCTGTTTCTCAATTTTTCCATCAATGGGAACAGTTTCTCTCCAAAACCCTCATGATTTTGAGCACCTATCAAAACATGTCTCAACTTTTTCTAAGAAAAGGAAGTAGATGGATACCAACAGTTTGTTTCCCCTAGCTGGGGAACATGAAACAAAGGGACACTGCTTCAGCTTAAGGGTCAATCATTTAGGACTGTTAGGATGAGAAATTTCTTCACCTGCGATAGGGTTAGGGTTGATTCAAAGGGGTGCCGATCTTTGGAATTCTCATCCATAGAGGGATCCCCACCTACTTGACAGGACCGTCTGATGAATCCAAATCTGGGTCGTGCACGGGGTCTCACTTCCCCTTTTCCCTCCAAAAATCAAGATAGGATTTCTCTTATCCTCAGCTTCCACCTCACCAGCCTCCATGTTCAGCATCCTCTGGCAATTTTACCAGCTTCACTCTTCTACCACTCCTTCTCTTTCAGCATTTTGAAAGGATGATGACACCCTGCCTCATACTTCATTCACCGCTAACACCCTTTTCCTACGATACATCCTCTGCATTTGCATGAAAAGGTAACAACTTTAACTCCTCCCTTCTCACCATCCAAAGTCCCAATGACCCCTTCCAGTTGAAACAGGTATTGATTCGCAATTTTTGTTTCAATTTAGTCTACTGTATTCACTGTTCACGATGCACTTTCCTCTAATTTCTTAAGAAGCAAGGCGGTGAAAGGTTATCAGGGCTAGTGGGAATGTACAATAATCAGATCAGCGAGGATCTTACAGAATGTGTAGCAGCTCCAAGGCCATGTGGCCTCCACATCCTCCTAATTTCCATATTCAGTTATGTAAATACATTGGGGAGGCCAAATGCAAACCAGGTAAGTACGTTGTAGAACACCTATGTTCAGTTCACAGGCATTTTAAAAAATTCTTTCATGGGATGCTGACATCACTGGCATAACAAGTATTTGTTACCCAACCCTACTTTCTCTTTGAACGGAGTGACATCTCAGCCATTTCACAGTCAAAAACAATGCTAAGTGTCTGAAGTGATATGTAGACCACATCAGGTAAGGACAGTAGATTTCCTCCTCTAAAGCATATTAGTAAATTAGATGGGTTTTTATAACAAGCGATGTTAGTTTCACGGCCAATAGGAATTAGCTTTCAATTCAAAATTAATTGATAAGTTTCCTGATGGAATTGAAATCAATTAATAATCTCTCCTGCCTCCACCTTACAAAAAACATTTCCTTTTATTCTTCCTGGCCCTAAGCATCCTTTTACTTAAAATTGACATTTCTACCTTTTCTCAGTCCTGGTAAAAGGTCACCTGCACTTGAAACATTAACTCTCATTTCTCTCCAAAGATGCTGCATGACATGCTCAGTATTTCCAGCAACTTTTTTGTTTTATTAAAAATTAAAACTGGATGCGGGAGTCTCCAAGCACTTTTAATTTTAGAATCCGGCCCATAAGAAGCTAGTTTCTTCTCACTGTCCATAAAATTTAGATAATTTATAAACTGACTGAAACCTAACTTTCAAACATTTAAACAGCTTTTTCATCTCAAAGAAAACAACTAGAAAACTGACAGGTTGACATTAGACTTACTTTGTCCACACAATCATCAAAGAAAGCCAGACTTGCATCCTTGTCACTCACGAAGGAACATTCCTCAATGAATCGAATAAACATCTGTGTTTTAGTCATCAATGAGTAAAACTTCTGGTGAGAACGGTCCCGACTCTTGAGGAAACCTATAAAGGTTAGCACGAAATCACTAAACTTATAAAAAAAAAAATCCCTCTCAATGGAATGTGATCCCAAAACACTGGTAGAAAACTTGCGAGACCGAGAGTCTCACTTTGATTAATTAATAACTTTTGAGAGACAGAATCGCAAAATGAACTAGCAGAACGAGTTATTCAACCATAGTAACTTTTAGTCCTATTAATTCCTCGGAAAAGTTTTTCCAAAATTTCAAGGCCAATTGCTAAACACAAGTGACAAAAATAAAGCATTTTGTCTTTATCACAGCTTTTATATCATGATGTGTGATTTGGATGTCAATACTAAATTTACCAAAAGAAAAAGACTTTCTTTACATAATTTGGAATTTAATCACCAGTTTGATATTATAGCACAATTTAAACTGTGTTTTAAAAACACGTAATTAGTGTGTTTGAGTTTAAGCAATCTGTAATGCAGGTAATACAGTGTTAAATACTTTATAAAGGAGCCAAACTTAATAATAGCCAGGTTGAATCTACAAATATAATTTTCTAACTATTTTCAACTATTTTTAATCACCTTGAAGATCAAACAGTGAGCTTGCATCTGTTGCTTTCTCAGAGGGAGCCTCTGTGATGGGTTGAAGATAAGTTCTGTAACCCTTCAGTATCGAAGCCATGAATTGCAGGAAAGCTTCTTGTATCTCTATCTCCAGTACCTGCATCCTCTTACCAAAGTTGAAATCATGATCATTTATTGATAACTCCATTAAAGCTTCGTCTCTGGGTCTTTGATGCACTGTAAGGGAATAAATTTAGTTTTAATTTTAAATGATTACTGCAACATGAAAATTCTCAACTGCACTGTAGTAAACAGCTGATTTTTCTTTAAGGTTAATTTAACATGACTTTGTTATTTTTGAAAGAAAAACTTGATTTTGCAGATTTTATTCTTCACTTCCTCCACTGACAACCAGACTTGACTCCTGATGGGTAGAAAGAAGCATTGTCTCTTTCCCAAGCTGTCATTTTTCATTTTCAAGCATAGATAACCAGTGTTAGAAAATTTCTTTGCAGTGGATGGCATTACATCTGATCCTGTTATGCGACTGTCATATGTTTAGCTGCTCTCACACATGTTCCCACCCATTTCTTTTGTTTAACTGCTCAGCTCCCCAATTTACACTCTGAGCCCTTCATATGCAGTTTAGCTATGAACAAAGTGGAAGGAAACGCAATCAGAGAAAAGAGGGGATAGGAAACAGCTAACATCAGCAGAATTAGGGAATCACAGCCTCTTTTAAACACTTAACGAATTGGACAGTCGTATGTGCAGATTTCGCAGCAAGCTTCTCTGGACATTTAAACCTTGCCCTCCTTGTTCTGGGAAAGAAAGTAATTGTGGGGCTCCATATATTATACCAGCTAACATCAGCAGAGCACAAATCAGGGAAAAAAATTGGGGACACCCAGTGCAGTCTCCCTCTTCCCTTTACCAAAGCTATCAAAGGAATTTTGTAGAGAACTAAACCAATTTTATGTGCAATATATTGAAGTCATTTTGCAACATTTGATCACTTTTAAACACAGATGTTAAGTTTTACACTGGTGCAGTGATACAAACAGAATTGGAAATTCTGATCATCGAGTTATACAAACACAGAAATAGACCCTTCACTCCAACTTGTCCATGCCGACCAGATATCCTAAACTGATCTTCTCCCATTTGCCAGCAGTTAGCCCATATCCCTCTAAACCCTTGTTATTCGTATACACATCCAGATGCCTTTTGAGAGTTGTAATTGTACCCATCTCCACCACTTCCTTTGACAACTCACTCTATACATGCACCACCTGTGAAAAAGTTGCCCTTTAGGTCACTTTTTAAATCTTTCCCGTCTCACCTTAAACCTATGGATTCCCCCTAGATTCCATTTGATCTGACCTTGCTAACCAATCTACCATGTGGAACTTTATCAAATACCTCGCTGACGTCCATACAAACTATGTTTACCGCTCTGCCTTCAATCTTCTTTGTTACTTCTTCAAAAAACTCAGTCAAGTTAGTGAGACACGATTTCCCATGCAGAAAGCCATTGTGACTCTCCCTAATCAGTCATTGCTTTTCCAAATAAATGTAACTCCTGTCCCTCAGAATCCCTTCCAACAACCTGCCCACTGCTTACATCAGGCTCACCGGTCTATAGCTCCCTGGCTTTTCCTTACCACCTTTCTTAAATAATGGCACCACATTAGCCAACGTCCAGTCTTCCGGCACCTTACCTGTGGCTATCAATGATAAAAATATCTCAGTGAGGGGCCCAGCAATCTCTTCCCTAGCTTCCCACAATGTTTTGGGATACACCTGATCAGATCCTAAGCATTTATCCATCTTTGTGCATTTTAAAACATCCAGTACCTCCTCTTCTTAATATGGACACTTTTCAAGACATCACTATTTATTTCCCCAAGTTCTCTAGCTTCCATATCCTTCTCTACAGTAAATACTTTTGAGAAATACTCGTTTAGAACCTCATTCATCTCTTGTGGTTCCACACATAGATAACCTTGTTGATCTTTAAGGGGCCCTATTCTCTCCCTAGTTTCTCTTTTTCTAGCTGTCTATACCTGACATATGCCTCCTTTTTGTTCTCGACCAGAGCCTCAATTTCTCTAGTCATCGAACATTCCCTACACCTACCAGTCTTGCCCTTCGCACTAACAGGAACAGATCAAAAAGGAAATTTTTTGAAATCATGAATAAATTACAATACTTGATAGTTCAAAACATACTTACTCTCTGCTAGCTGCTCATAAATGCTGCTCAAAGAGTTGATCAGATTTTTACAAGCTTTCTTAGGAAGCAGTTTCCACGTCAGGTTTTTTCTATCATCAGTTCTGAAAAAACAATCTTATATTAAATTCTATTCTTGAGCTCAAACACGGCATCTGAACTCAGAATTATGAATCGCAATATTGCTGTTACTATCAGCAAAAATAAAATGGTGTAGCAAGTATAACTTATAGTCAATTTAACAAAACAAGAAGTTGCTCTAAATTGTAATTCAGTATACACATTGATGAATCAGTTGCTAGCTGGAGACTTTTGAGCCATCAACTAACATCGACAGGTATTGTACCTTCCTATTTCATGCATTAATTTGGAACTGTCCCTCACTACAGTGATACAGATCACTATCAGCATCATTTAAGTTACTTGTTTATAAAGTAAACTATGGCTAGAACAAAGAACAGGTCACCTTCCTGAGGAAACAGTCTAGTCAAAATGATTTGTGGGCCCAATAACAATAATTTTAGACAAACAATGCACCGGTGTCACACTACAATTCCAAATGTTTGCGGACATTTAATCCTTGCCCTCCTTGTTTAAGGACTCTCATGCATCCGTGGTAGCGTCCCTATCTCTGAACAAGCAGTTCAAGTCCCACCTATTCCAGAGGTGTATGATAATATCTATGAACAGGTTGATTAGAAAATACCTGCAGACAGCAAAGTTACAAATGCAGAGGTGTTACAATACCACCTGAGGGAAAGATAGAAGGAGACCTTGTTAAATCTTGTATAGGAATTTCCATGATAAATCTGAACCGAGACACTTATGTATAACAAAAAAAGTACACCTGCAAGCCCTAGTCCAATATTCCCCAGCCTCAGTAGAAGATCACATAAGATCTCAACTCCCTAATTTCTTTCCTACATGTCATCTAGTTATTGCTCAAAAAGTCCAGCTTATTGTGAGACACGCCTGTTCAAAATATGGAATTCTTTTGATGCAGTTTTTTTGTTTGCAAACAATGGTTATTCATAAATTCACTTTATGCTCTAATTGTAATTGCAATTAACATCTTACTGAGAGATGGTGTTAGTGTCCAGGTCCACACAGCTTACATCACTTGGAGGATCATACAGGTCAAAGTAGCGAGAGTCAACTCCTACGATGAAAGGGCAAGGGGCACTAAGGACATCTGCCAGAGCCAATGGACAGAGAGGAATGTATGGGCATGGCCAATGGAATGGAAATATCATCTGCATACAAAAAAGGTCACAATAAAGTCAACATACTTTCTCTTAAATATCCACTTGCTTTCCATCAACTGCTGTAAAAGTGAATCACTGGCTCAGCTAAGGTTAAGTAATTGCCAAGGGTCTCAATGTTTTTTTCAACATTCCCCTAGTATGACTGAAAGTAACCAGGTCCTCCAACTTTGGAAATCTACAAAACAAAATTATTTTGCTCCTGCAAGTACAGCTTTATGCTAGAACTCTATTTTGTATTTTGTAAGCAGAAATATAAAGGATTGAAAACTAATGTTTCTTCACTAGAATATTTCCTAGAATATGCAAGCATTATATGATATAGTCAAAAAGTCAACACACGTCTAAGGACAGGATTAGAATGATTGGCCATGTCCAGTAACCTTATGTAAAAAAATTTCTTCAATTTAGCCAATACAAGTTAAGAGGTACAGTTGCATTCTTATAACCTATATAAAACATGGACTTCATTTATAAACTCAAGGCAATATAAAAAACCAGCTGCAAAGTTTTTACAAGTTCAGTTTGAAATAATTTTCCACATTATGTTTGATCCCTCTAATTTATGATTTTTTCAGATATTATGAGCTCAATTAGAACTTGCAGATTCTACAAAGTTCCAGCATTCAAAGAAGCCATCTGAAAATATCTCACCAAGGGCAAATGACAAGGTAATTCTGCCAACACTCAAGTTAGACCTTCATCCTGGAATACAAAATCTTTTCCACCTGCACCTCAACATTCTTTATGGATCCGTGGAGTCTGTACCCTTGCCCACTCTGCTGCATGCAAAATTTTCTTCAAGGCTTTTTAATTGATTGTAATAATATTATTTGCAGTATAAAAAAAAACTATTCAATGTGGATGACTGAAACTATTTCTATGGATACAGATAATTCCCTTCCCCATCCCAACAAAAAATTCATGGGCTCTTCCTCACTACAGCTTAACCATACCACTAAATTACCAACATTGTTATTGGTGTGAAAACCATTATTAAATACTTAAAGCAATTCTTTAATAAAGCTCCCACTCCTTTATTCCTCTGAATGGCTCAAGAAGCTAATGTTATATAAAGGAGGTTGTTATCACCTGTTTCTGTATTGCTATGATTTAGAATTTCATACACTGAACAGATATCTTTTCAACTTAAAGATTAAGAGCTACCCTCATGCTTCTAAAACAATGTACTTTTAAAGACATGATTAGTTCCAAAGTATTTTCTCATTTTTTATTCAGTTTCAAGCCAACATTTTTATTTCAGCAATGATTTTCTGGCAACAGCAGACCAGCTGAACGGAAATGCTGAAGCTGACTGCACCAGCTGAATTAACATCAATGGTGAAAATCTAGGGGTTCTTTGGTGATATTATTTCAAGCTTGCACATGTTCATTTGGCTGTTTTGCTCAGGCTCAGCAATTTCTCTCTGGCAGTTCCTCAATCTCATGATTTCAGGATTTTTTTTAAACCAACTTCTCAAATAAATCTAAGGGAAAAAGCAAGGCTCTAACATTTTCACAAGGAATTGTGCTAGAGTCTCCAGATTGTAAGCTTATTTCCAAACAACACGATCATGGACTGTAGGGAATAGTTCCAAATCTTTTCAGCCAACATGCTTACAACTGCATAATAAATATCTCCTTTTTTCATCAGTGTTATGAGCCATCTGAAGCAATGCAAACGCCTCAAATCACCAATCACTCTTACAGGAAAGCTCTAAAGACATAATTAAATGATTTGGCAAATTTATCAAAAATGTAAAATCAAAAAAAAATCTTTAAAGAATTTAAAAATTCAACCAGATCATTCCACAATCCTCCCAACCTCCACACTAAATGTCCAAATATTTAAAATCTGGCAGGTCATTACTCTCTTCCATTTCATTTTCATGATATATGATTAAACAATCAATTTTTCAATAGGATCAAGCATTTGTCAGTAATGAACTGCACTTTATTTCTATCGCCCCCAATGAATGTTACTGAATTGTTAGGCATCAGTAAACCTAGATACTTCCTGCACACCACAAAATGCAAATTGATTTCACAACTGAGAGATTAGAATTACAGATTCTATGACAGTTCATGTCAACTTCCTAAATTTTTCATTATTGCTATTGTGGCGCTTGTAAGGGAAAGACTGCAGCTTATAGGAAGCGTCTCGTCACAGTGGTAGAAAAATATCTGTTGTTTCACAATCAGAAACACCAACGGAAAGGTGTATTGCTTAGGAGAGCTACAAGGGGGCATGGAAAAACCTTGGCAGATAGGATCAAGGAAAACTCCAAGGCTTCTTACATGTACGTGAGAATAAAAGAATGATCAGAGAAAGGGTAGGGCCGATCAAGGATTGTAAAGGGAATTTGTGCACAGAGCCTAAAGAGATAGGAGAGGTCCTTAATGAATACTTTTCTTCGGTATTCACAACTGAGAGGGACCTAGTTGTAGGGGAGGACAGTGTGAAACAGGCTGGTAGGCTAGAGGGGGTGGATGTTAGTAAGGAAGATGTATGAGGAATTTTGAGGAACTTGAAGATAGATAAATCCCCCGGGTCTGATGGGATTTATCCAAGGATTCTACGGGAAGTGAGGGAAGAGATTGCAGGGCCTTTTCTTCCTCACTGTCCACGGGTATAGTGCCGGAAGACTGGAGAATGGCAAACGTCATTCCCTTGTTCAAAAAAAGGGAATAGGGATAACCCCGGAAATTACAGGCCAGTTAGTCTTACTTCAGTGGTGGGCAAATTATTGGAAAGGGCTCTGAGAGATAGGATTTATGATCACTTGGAAACGCACAGTTTGATTAGTGATAGTCAGCATGGATTTGTGAGGGGTAGATCATGCCTCACAAACCTTATTGAATTCTTTGAAGAGGTGACCAAACACATGGATGAAGGTAGAGCAGTGGATGTGGTATACATGGATTTAAGTAAAGTGTTTGATAAGGTTCCCCATGATAGGCTCATACAGAGGGTAAGGAGGCATGGGATAGGGGGAAATGTGGCAGATTGGATTCAGAATTGGCTGACCCTTAGAAGACAAAGGTTGGTAGTGGACGGAAAATATTCAACACGGTGCTCAGTTACCAGTGGTGTACCACAAGGATCAGTTCTGGGTCCCCTTCTATTTGTGATTTTTGTAAATGATTTGGATGTAGGAGTGGAAGGATGGATTAGTAAGTTCGCGGACGATACGAAGGTGGGTCAAGTTGTGGACAGTGCGGAGGGCTGTTCTAGGTTACAAAGGGACATTGATAGGATGCAGAGCTGGGCTGAGAAGTAGCAAATGGAGTTTAACCCTGAAAAGAGTGAGGTGATTCATTTTGGAAGGACAAACTTGAAAGCAGAATACAGGGTTAACAGAAAGATTCTTGGCAGTGTGGAGGAGCAGAGGGATCTTGGGGTTCATGTCCACAGTTCCCTGAAAGCTGCCACCCAGATGGATAGAGTTGTTAAGAAGGTGTATGGTGTGTTAGCTTTCATTAATAGAGGGATTGAGTTCAAGAGCCGTGAAGTTATGCTCCAGCTATACAAAACCCTGGTTCGGCCACATCTGGAGTATTGTGTCCAGTTCTGGTCGCCTTATTACAGGAAAGATGTGGAAGCATTGGAAAAGGTGCAGAGGAGATTTACCAGGATGTTGCCTGGAATGGAGGGAAGGTCTTACCAGGGAAGGTTGAGAGAGCTGGGGCTTTTCTCTTTAGAACGACGAGGTGACTTGATAGAGGTGTACAAAATGATCAGAGGTATAGATAGAGTAGACAGCCAGAGACTTTTTCCTAGGGTGGAGGTAGCTATTACAAGGGGGCACAGTTTTAAAGTGAGTGGAGGTAGATATAGGGGAGATGTCAGAGGTAGGTTCTTTACTCAGAGAATGGTAGGGGCGTGGAATGCATTGCCGGAGCGGGTAGTGGAGTCGGCCTCATTAGGGGCATTTAAGCAGCTATTAGATAGGCATATGGATGCTAGTATAAGGTAGGGGTGGAGGTTAGATAGACCTTAGGTTTAGGGTAAAAGTTTGGCACAACATTGTGGGCCGAAGGGCCTGTACTGTTCTATGTTCTATGTTCTAAAAGCTCCTCAATGGCTCAGTTGTAAAGTCGGAATTCACCTGAGCAGAAACAGACCAAAAGGTCCTGGATGTGATTCCTAGTCTGTGCTCCCTAGTCTGTGCTCCGTTTGCACATTGGATGCTGGAGGTCAGAATGCTAGAACTGACCTTAATGCCCCTAAAAAAAGCCAACACTGATCCGCTTTTCAGGTGGTCTGCAATGACTTACAGCAAAATGCTGGCATTACATGAATTGATTTAATAATCTAATGACTGCAACAGTAATTCTCCTTGCCAATTTCTAAACACAATGAATTTTCTAAAAACCCGAGTGTTTTGGACATACAATTAATGATAAGCAGAATTAAATGAAAATTCACACAAATTCACATTTAAAGGCTAATCTTGAATGGAGTGTTTTAGCCAAGATGGAACTAAATTAAGATCAGTGTTCCAAGGAACAGAAAAACTATGCATAAATATATAAACCAAACTACTACATCTTTGCAAAGCTCCATGAAGAAATCTCTCAAAAGTTTGAGTGAGCTTAATACTCACAGAAACGACCGCTTCAGCCACACTAGTTAACACAGCCGGTCGGACAGAGTGAATAAGAATCTTGTGTTCGGTTAGTGCATACAATAGCAGACTTATTGCTTTCTCTGGGCCCAGGTTCTGCAACAAAGTAGTGAAACTGCCACCACTGAAAGGAAAATAGACAGACATCAGAATTCAGTGAAGTAATGCACTGGTTACTTTCACTTTGATTGCCTGACTAAAATATATGTCTGGACTGCCTAATTTATGCCTTTTACTGCAGCAAGTATTACATGCATTCTCTAAATGCCCTCCACTCTGCAGACCATTTCAAAGCAGTTATTGTAGCAGATGAGCTGACTCTATGGTGCTCACTCAAACAATATAGAGTGACTCCTAAAAGCAACAAGAGTTGACTTGCCCACAAGGAAAATACCTTCCAATAATTTTGAAAACCGAATTGTTTTCATTAACTTATTGTTGAAGTGGTAGCAGGGAACTGAACCCTTCCCTGTCACTCGAAGGCCTGCACTTTAACGGAGGAGTATGTGGCACAATGAAATTCATGAGCTTGGATGTTTGGAAATATATGCTATAACATTGTTTTATGCACAATCTTAAGATGATTAATAAAGTGAATCTTCAAAAATATTTCACAAGAACATTAATTTGAGTGAGCACTTAGTACAGTTTACAAGACAATTGTGATAATTCACCAAATTTCAATTTTTGAATAACTACCTCCTGTTTGACGTTTCTTTGAAAGAAAACATACTGTACTGAATTCCAAGAAATAATATTTCATTGTTTAAAATATGAAATTCAACTGGCTTTATTGCAATTAATCCCTTCAATATGAAAATTCATAAAATGCCCTCATCATTTACAAACAATATGTTGCATGAAATCCAAGTACAGCTTTCAGCTCTATCTGAAATCATAATTAATCAATTTCAATATGGTACAGAATCATGTCATTTAGATAATTTAATTTGCAATCCAACATGCTGCCTTTTTCCACCAGTTGAAAATATCTGGCAGATATCTGTCAAAACCTCGAGGAAACTGCATAGTTGCCAGTTTGCGACCAAAACCACAAGATGATTACTTTTCAACTAAGTACTCAACATCAAAAGATGAAAGGGAAGAAGAAACAGCATTGCTCTCTGGTTATAAATGCATCATACGTTGTTGGACAACATAAGGAACTGATGCTAGGAATGAATTGCATAGTTGTAATTCAGTCAAGACTCTTATGACAAAGTTAAAGCACAAAGCTTTGTTCTTATATTTTTCGTTAGCTTCATATTTGAACTCATTTATTCTTGATTTTTGTCTTTTTGTTCTTGCATTTTGCTTACTTAATCAGTAGAACAGATTAAAATAGTGGATGCAAAATCTTTTTGGCATAGGAAGCTACACATTTATCAGAGAGCACTGTAAAGCCATCTGCTTTAGAGACGTACGTTCCTGTAAGAGATGCAGCTTCATTTATATTACAATTTTAGCTATTGCACAGGTGCAGACAACTGAATATTAGATTTTCTGTTACTAACAGTGCTACTCTGTCATCTTATTGTAGGTATACTAGTGTACACAAGTTTACTTCAGTGTTTTGGGGTTATCACACTGGCATAAGAGCAAAGACCAGATACAAAACATTGAAAATCAATAATTAATAATGAAATACTAATTCCAAGAACATCCATTCAAATTCCACCATGGAGATTGGAGTGTTTGAATTCAGTTTCTCAAAATGGTTGGTATCAGTTGTACCATTGGTTTGTTGTATAATCCAATAGTACACTAATGCTTTTTAGGGAAGGAAACCTACAATTATTAAACAGTCTTGTTTATGTGGCTGCAACCTCCACCAGTTCTTGCTTACCTGGGAGTACTGAGTGGGACACTGCCCTAAACAAAGGATACAATTTCTACTTCAAATAAAGCTTAAAGTAATTAAATCTGTACTTACCTCAAAGGTAATGGCGATGATACAGGTTGGCAAAGCATCAGATAGTCATGCGGTGATTGCTATAACAAATGAGAAGATAGAATCTGCTGAATTTTAATCTAATATGAATTAATTTTTCTTAATTCACATTAAGAAAAGCTTCTCTCTATAATATCAGTTTCTTGCATTTCAAATTTTAACTATTTTAAATTCAGGATCTCTCACTTTTCATTCTTTTGCTAATATTATTTTAATAACACAATATTCTATGGAATTTGTTTTCTCCATTGAACTTTACCATTTCAGATGCACTATCATATTACAAATGTTCAGGATGATTTTTGGGGCAGCTTGTCAAATGGAAATATGGTCCTGCTGTAATCCAAACAACAGAAGACATCAAAGAGTATTGTATTGTTGCTGTGAATAGCAACCAAACAAATCGACACCCACCTGCACAAGAATCCTAGGCCTTTGAGGAGAAGGAAATGGGACATTATGCATGAAATGACTGATGTGCCTGCAAAATAGAAGTTTAAGTATATTGAATACATGGAGAAAACACTGGTATTCACCATGATCTTTTAGCTACAAGTCCATCCAATTCAATCATATTATTTTGTGACTTTTTTAAACAAAACCTTTAAGGTAAGGATTGTATCTTTTTTGATCTTTGCCAATGTATTAAATCATTTTTCTGTTAACATAAAAATAAAGACAAGATAGAGCTTAATGTGAAACACATCTATTGACAGCTGACACCAAAGTGAAGAGCATAACATTAGCAGAGCTCACATTTATAATCACAGTTAAGGAGGAGAATAGGGAGCGAAATGGAGGAATAAATAAATAAACACAAGCACTCCGATTGTGAGTGTTTGCATCAGCAAAATTTTGTTGAAAGCTCCCTACCAACCTTGGCATAGCTGTGAGGCAGATAGCCACTCCACCATACAATTGCTGGCACATCCTCCATATTATCCCAGCTTTGGTCAGAGAACAGAAACTTCCATGGACTGCATACATCATGCAGACTTGAAATCATGATTATATTCCAACATACTGACAGCCAAGGTAGGAAAATATTAGCAAATGGAAGATGTATTAATTATTCAGGAAACTATCTACACTGTATTATATAATTACGCTGAAGCCATTACAACACATTCACCAATAAGAGGCATTTTTTAAACATCACAAAGTTTTACAGCATCCAAATCTTTCCTTACTATGAAAACAGGAGGATAGGGAGAAAAAAAAAATGCAGGGTTCCAGCTGTGACCCTCTTTTGTCAGCACTGAGCTATTTGACTTCAGCTGGCCCAGCATTAATAGCCCCAGAATTTGGAATCATTCTGTAGCGTAAGGTTGAATGCTGTTTCTATTTTTTTTAAAATCTTGCCCATTTAACTCGTGCCCTTGTATTCTAAAGGCATCGAAACCTCACTGACTTATAGCTTCTAATACACCCTCTAATACTTTGGCCAGTTTGGTCTTAATTCTTAAATGCCAATGACAACAATGCAAATGCCAATGTTTGGTGGTGGCGGCGGTGGTGGGGGCATCACCCACCAATAACAATGTGCGTTTGCAGCACGACTTACTAAACAACAGCTGCAGTGGGAACTCTGACTGATCTTCCCTTCCCCAGTCAGGTGAGCCATCACCACAGCCCAAGTGAGGTAAACTAACAATCAGGAGTAATGCCTGGGAACATTCAACATGCACCATCAATTCTAGCAGAATCAGGAAGAATTAATTTTTTACATGGAACTTACTTCTCAATGGGTAGTGCATGAGGCCCAGAGATTGAATAACGGTACAAAAATGTGAGAAATTTTCGAAAAGCTTCGAAGAACGGCCAATGCGACAGAAGGCAGATGCATTTGCTGGTGTGAGCTGTTTTTGAGAGGATGGGTTTTCGGTCGGCAGCACTGACCAGCCCTAGTTGGGATCGTTGCTTGTCTGTTAGATTCTCTTGAGGAAGAGCTTCATAGAACTGAATAGCTGCACCATAAACCTAGGAGCAATGAGGAAGGGTGTTTGAACCATTACATAGCAGAACAACACTAGGTGGCAATTACCAATCTGGTATGCTGTGGTGATGAAAGCAGAAACAATTCCATTGAATAACTACAAGTATAAATCTGTAATTAGTTTGGGTGCGCCCAACACTGCATCATATAATTTACACATCATAACGTGGGTACAGAAACAATGCCTTGTTTTTAATTTTGTTTTGGCAAACTAGGGACAGGCAATAAATGCTGGTCAGCCAGCAATGCTCACGTCCCACAAATGAATAAATTTTTAAAAACTTACTATATAATGATTATTAAAGGGGTTGAGTCTGCAAATATCCGGCAAAGTGGGATGTGTTTCCTGGATTAATTCTGACTATCTAAAGGGGGTCAGACAGGAATGTTCCAGATTTATTTCCTGGATGTTTGCTCTTTTAGAATGCTAGCAAAAACATGACATACCATATGGCCTCCTTGTAACCATTTTATGATTGGTCTGTGTTTTCTGCCTCTCTCAAATTTAGATCACTATTAGGTGGGATAGATTGGGGATTGTATACATTGTGACACAAGAGATCACAGATATGTAGGACAAGCTCAACCACCAGTGAGTCTTTTTATTTTTATCCATTGTTCCTTGTTGGTCTGATACATTCTGTATTCATACAGCAGTATACTCTTTACCAATCATGCCTGTTCAGATTTCTTTGTGGAGGAAATTGAAAGTAAAGCAACTGCTCATGTCTCTCTCTATAGAAAATTGGGAAGCTGACAGGAAACAAAGCATAGGAATAAATGGGTCTTTTATTCTGAATGGCAGGCAGTAACTACTGTGGTACCACAGTGATCGATACTAGCACCCCAGCTATTCGCAATATGTTGTTAATAATTTAGATGAGGGAACTAAATGTAACATCTCCAAGTTTGCAAATGGCACAAAGCTGGAGGGAGGGTAAGCGAGCGAATGGGCAAATGCACGGCAAATCCAGTATAATGCAGATAAATGTGAGGTTATCCACTTTGGTAACAGAAATAGGGACGCATATTATTATTTCGACAGTTGTAAATTGAGAGAGGGGAATGTTCAATGAGGCCTGGATGTCTTCGTGTGCCAGTCAATAAAAGCCAGCATGCAGGTACAGCAAGAAATAAAGGCAAACTGTATGTTGGCCTTAATAGCAAGAGGATTTGAGGAACAAGGGTGTCTTACTGCAATTATACAGGGCACTGGTGAGGGCTCACCTGGAATATTGTGTGTAGTTTTGGTCTCCTTATCTGAAAAAGGATGTTCCTGCTATACAGGGAAGGCAGTGAAGATTTACCAAACACATTACTAAAATGGCAGGACTGACATATGAAAGGAAATTGAGTTGTTTAGCGTTGCATTCACTGGAGTTTAGAAAGATGACGGGGGATCTCCAAGAAACCTATAAAATTTGAACAACACGAGACAGGTTAAATGCAGGAAGGATGTTTCCAATGGTGGGGAGTCCAGAAGTCATAGTTTAAAGATAGAGGGTAAATGTTTGAGGATTGAGAGGAGAGGAAATTTCTTCTGTGGTGAGAGTGGTGAGCCTGAGGAATTCACAACCACAGAAACTGGTTGAGGTCAAAACATTGTGTTTTCAAGAAGGAGGTAGGTATAGCTCTTGGGGCTAAAGGGATCAAAGTACATGGAGGAAGACTGAGATTAGGGTATTGAGCTCAATGATCAGCCACGGTCACACTGAATGACAGAGCAGGCTCAAGGAGTCAAATGGCATACTCCTGCTCCTATTTTCTACATTCCTATGAATTAGCAGTGCAAAACTTGAGTACACTGAACTGGAAGTTATATCTGGTTATTTACATACCAGTGATTCCATGCTGTAACTATGACAATTTGTGTCTGAAGTAAGTGAGATAGGTTAAGATACAACACATCCCACATCAGGCAAATTGAAACTGTGTGTTTGTGGATTTCTCAGTATTTTAAATTATTTTTGATAAAAAATCAACATGCAAATTAGAACAAGATGCACAATTGGATAAGTAGTTTTCAGATGAGGCTATTATAGAAATAAAAGCTCTTAAAATGGAGATAAAACCTCTTTATTAGTACAAACATTATTTGAAGTGTTCCTGCCCCACTTACATATCATGTTTACTTATCATCACAATTTTTAGCATAATAGTCTATAGTCACTCAGTTATATATTCAACGCTGCACACAACAGATAATGACTCCAGGATCATCCTGATTCATAAGACTCGGATACCCTACTTAATTTTAAATCCATAAAATGTACTGATAACAAAAAAGAAAAACATGGGTGATCAGAGTGTAATATGTACAAGTAAGTAGTCATCACAAAGGGCCCTGACAACATCCTGGCAATAGACTGGAAGACATGCACTCCAGAAAGTGCCATGCCCCTAACCAAGCTGTTCCAGTACAGCTGACAACATGAAAAATTGAGCAGATACATCCTGTACATATAAAGCAGGACAAATCCAACCTGGCCAGTTACTACTCTGTCAGTCTACTCTCAGCCATAGTGATGGAAGGTGTCATGAACAAGTGCTGCTTGAAAGCACTGTTAAGCAATAGCCTGCTCACTGTCACTTATTTTGGGTTGCTCCAAGGTCACTCAGCTTCTGACAATGTTACAGCCTTGTTCATGTTTGAACTAAACAACTAAATTCCAAAGGCGAGGCGAGTTTGACAGTCCTTGACATCAAAGCCACATTTGATTGCGTGTGGCATCAAGGAGCCTTAGAAAAATTGAATCAATGGTAATCGGAGAGGGGGAGCTCTCTGCTGGTAACAGGCATAAGGATGAGATTGCAGAGCACTTGGAAGTGCATGGCAAAATTGGGCAGCGCCAGCATGGCTTCATCAAGGGGTGGTCATGCCTGACAAATCTGTTAGAATTAGTTGAGGAGGTAATAAGCAAGTTAGACAAAGGAGAGCTGGTGGATGTGATCTATTTGGATTTTCAGAAGGCCTTCCACAAGGTGCCACAAAGGAGGCTGCTAACTAAGATGAGCCCTTGGTGTTAGGGGCAAGTTACTGGCATGGACAGAGGATTGGCTGACTGGCAGAAGGCAGAGAGTGGAGATAAAAGGGTCTTTATTAGGATGGTAGCCAGTGACGAGTCGGGTGCAGCAGGGGTCAGTGGTGGGACCACAACTATTCATGGTATACATTAACAATCTGAATGAAGGAACTGAGGGCATTGTTGCTAAGTTGGCAGATGATACAAACATAGACGGTGGGACAGCTAGTGTTGAGCAAGCGGGGAGGCTGCAGAAGGACTTGGACAGCCGAGGAAAGTCAGCAAGGAAGGGGTAGATGGAATACAATGTGGGAGAGTGAGAGGTTAATCATTTTGGTTGGAAGAATAGAGGTACAGGCTATTTTCTAAATGGGGAAAGGCTTTGGAATCTAAAGCACAAAGAGATGTGGGAGTTGTAGGTCAGGATTCTCTTAGGCTTAAGGCAGAGATAGATAGGTTGTTGATAAGTAAGGGGATCAAGGGTTACAGGGAGAAGACAGGAGAATGGATTGAGAAACATATTGGCCATGATCGAATGGTGGAACAGACCAGGTGGGTTAGATGGCCTAACTCTGGTCTTGTATCTTACAGTCTTGTATAGAACACAAATGAGATGATGATTGTGATAACACAGTAGCCAGGCAGCATCAGAGGAGCAGGAAAGCTGACATTTCAGGTCAGGACCCTTCTTCAGAAAGGGGGGAGGAGGAAGGGAGCTCTGAAATAAAGACGGAGAGGACGGGGTGGGGCTGGGGGAGGCAGGTGGGATGGTGATAGGTGAGTGCAGGTAGGCAATGGTCGGGATTGGTCAGTGAGGTGGGAGGGGCAGATAGGTGGGACAGAAGGTGGACAGGTTGTGTCAAGTCAAGGAGGCGGGGATAAGGCCGGGGGTGGGAAGATTTTGAAACTAGTAAAGTCCACATTGAGACCATTGGGTTTTAGGCTCCCAAGGCGGAATATGAGGTGCTGTTCCTCCAGTTTCCAGGTGGCGTTGTTGTGACACTGGAGGAGGCCCAGGATGGACATGCTGTTCAGGGAGTGGGAGGGAAAGCTGAAGTGGTTCGCGACTGGAAGGTGTTATCGTTTGTCGCGAACAGAGCGCAGGTGCTCTACAACGGTCTCCGAGCCTCCGCTTGGTCTCACTGAAATAGAGGAGGCCACATCGGGAGCAGCAGATGCAATACACCACATTAGCGGATATGCAGGTGAACATCTGTTGGATGTGGAAGGTTTTTTTGGGCCCTCGGATGGAGGTGAAGGGGGAGGTGTAAGGGCAGGTGTAGCACTTCCTGCGGTTGCAGGGAAAGGTGCCGGGAGTGGTGGGACCAGTGGGGAGTGTGGAGCAGACGAGGGAGTCGCAGAGAGAGCGATTCCTACGGAAGGCAGATAGGGATGGGGAGGGAAATATATCCTTGGTTGATTGCATCTTGGAAGAAGAATGCCCAGGCCCACCCCTCCTCTCTCTATTTATTTCTGAGGCCCCTTCCCCCTCCCCGACTTCTGAAGAAGGGTTCTGACCCGAAACATCAGCTTTCCTGCTCCTCTGATGTTGCCTAGCCTGCTGTGTTCCTCCAGCTCCACACTGTTATCTCTGACTCCAGCATCAGTTCTTACTATCTCTGATGATGATGGTGGTTGTTGCTGGTCAATCTTCTCAGCTGCTTCACCAATGACCTTCCATCCATCACAACGCCTGAAGTGAGGACATTCTCTGATGATTGCACAATGTCCAACACCATTCACAATTTCTCAATTACCAAAGCAGTCCATGCCCAAATGCAGCAAGACCTGGGCAACATCTGGCTTGGGCTGAAAAATGATAAGTAACATTTGTATTACACCAAATGGACTGCAGCTGTTTCATAAGGCAGCTCGTCACCACCATCTCAAGGGCAACTAGGAATAGACAATAATCGCTGGCCCTGCCAGAGCCACCCACATTAATAAATAAATGATCACATAAGGAGGACAGTAGGTTCCCTTTCCTAAAATGGCATCTGTGAAAGAGATGGGCTTTTACAACATAATGATAATTTTGGACTAGAACCATGGAACTAATAGAATTATTTTCACAAATTGATCACCTAATTTCAACTCATGATCCCTGGCCTGTTCATCTATCAACAAGCTATCAAGTCCCTTAAATTACAATAAATGTTTTACAGCTTTTGCATGGCAACAAATTCTTTAACAGAAAATAAAAGGTTTGATTTATAAGTTCAGTTTTTATATTTCATAACTTTCACACCTGAAGTTTTAATAAACTGCTACTTCTTGACTAAACAAAGATAAACATATAGTACATTAAATAACAGGCTTGCCATGTATGTACCTTTGTTGCAGAAGCTGCTGTAAGCACAAATGTAGAGAAGACAGGGAGCGGATATTTGGTATTACAAGGCCAACATTCAATGGTTGCTCCCATTGGCAAGCAAAATAGAGGTACTGATGAAGGCAACGGAAAGGATTCATAGTCTTCCTCTGGATACCTACATATCAAACCTGCAGAGACAAGACAAGAGACAAAAATGAAAATATTTGTATTATAACCATTCCCATCTCAGTACAACGAGTCTTTGAGTGTAAGATTACAGCCGATGTATTTATTTAGAAGATCCTTTCATGAAACTCAGAAATAACACTCAATCCAAACACAATATTCACTGTACCAGTGTCTTAACAACTTACTGGCTTATTTGTTAGTTTTATTTCTCAGCTAATCTTTGCAAATCCCCCTAAGACTAGAAAACAAAAAGCTGGGTTCCAATTGGCCCGTCAACAATGGCAATTCTTGGCAACCAGTAAAGAAGAGTAACAATTTCCCCTACCCAATGTCACCGGCACACCCTGGCCTCAGCCCAGAAATGCCAAAATTTAATTGTGCATATAAGGTGAAATTGCAAATACCTTTTAATGGAGCTATACGAGAATTATATGCTGTTTCCAGATTAATTTAAAGCTTAAATTTACATTCTGTGCATCATAAAATCTCCTACAGTAGTAAAGGAAAGACTATGAAATTTGGAATTCTTAGGAATAGCTTAATGAAATTGTGATGAATTGTTGGGTTCAACATCGGGGAGGCAATGGCCTAGTCGTATTATCGCAGGACTGTTAACCCAGAGACCCAGATAATGTTCTGGGGACCCAGGTTTGAATCCCGCCACGGCAGATGGTGGAAATTTAATTCAATAAATATCTGGAATTAAGAGTCTAATGATGACCATGAATCCATTGTCAATTGACGGAAAAACCCATCTGGTTCACTAATGTCCTTTAGCGAAGGAAACTGCCATCCTTACCTGGTCTGGCCTACATGTGATTCCAAACCCACAACAATGTGGTTGACTCTTAACTGCTCTCTGGGCAATTAGGGATGGGCAATAAATGCTGCCTAGCCAGCAACGCCCTCATCCCATGAATGAAAGAAAAAACTGATCTATTCATTCATGCGTTGATCACTCAATATTAACAGTCACTTCCAAATGCCTTGTTGTCTCATTCAATAACAAACATCAAAACTTCAGCATGTAAAATAAGTTCACATTGGCGATGCCCCTAATGCGAGACTCTCAATTTCCTTACTGTGTATGCAAAATCAAAGTTTTCTGGATGATTTATCCTTGCCTAAAAGTTATCCAATCAGATCTTATTTTGGATGCAGAACTTACCAGCTTTGTATGCTATACTGTTGGTCTTGGCCAAGGACTTCTTGTAACACAAATATACTGCTGACCCCCACTGCAACAGAAAATGAAATAGATCACTAAACTACTAATACAAAGTAACACTCACCAAAACTGCAACATAGCTACTGACTAGAACTGCCAAGGTCTGCCCAGAAATACTTTGGTTCAAATTATTTTAATTATAACGCAACGAACTTTAGGCATTTTGTAAAAAGATGTTTAATTATTTTTTTCATTTTGTGCCTTAGGATGTTTCTTGAGCATGTCTATATAAATCCACAAAAAATTGTTACCCAATATTAATTGCAAATAAAAGAACATAAAAGAAACAACGGTCACTGGAATACCAAGCTGTTCGTGCAAATCCCAAAGGAACACATGCAGTCAGAGAAACAAACAAGGAAATATTGAAGTGAAGAGGCATCTACGATAATGTTACTTGTATGCTGCAAAAATACTTAGTATTAAGATTCACTAGAAAAGGAACAGCTTACTCCAAGATTGGATACAAATAAAAATTTTCTGCCGAGTACAAGTATACAACCAATAGCTATTCAAAAATATCTTTTAATTCAGGAATGTATCATTTTGAAAATAAATACTCACAAAAGTAAAACCAGTTATCAAACATGGTTTGGATCAAAGTATCTGCAACTCCATTGTGATGTATTCTTAGAATGCTTGAAAGAAAGATGAAAGGGACTGGGGACCAGCAATCATTCATTCACCAAGAGGGAAAACAAACAAAAGCTTGATGATGACATGGAGTGAAGAAAGCAATGTGGACTACTGCCCAGTGAAGACCACAAAGTGCAAGGTTGCACACATGGAATTTGTATCGTCTGAAATGGGCCAAATTACTCTTCATTGGCTCCATTCTTGGCAAATCCTGCAAAAATTCACTTTCACAATTCTACTACAATCCAAAAAGCTCATTACTAGTGAAATGACTTTTCCCTCTGCATCCTATCTAACTAGATAGGATGCATTGCACAATATTTAAAACATTAATCTTTGAATTACATCTTCCTACCATTAAGAAAATTTGCCAGCAGCTGTATCCAGTGATACTACACTGTTTGTAGTAATCCAATCTCCTGTTTATTATCTTGCTAAATTATGATCGGAAAACATCCTAACAATTTAGAATGTCATGGGAGGGCAGGAAGTGTCACACAACTCAAGGTTAAGCAAGATAACAGACGTAGCCACTAAATCATGCAGCTTTGATTCAACACGTGGATACTTACAATTAAGTTCCAGTCTAAGTCAGTGTATACACATTGAAATTGATAATACCATTCAACTGTTGTTTCACTTCACTGGTTTACCTGGTGATCTAGCTCTGAAACTCCAATTAAAATATGCAACTCTTTTTAAACTAATAATTTGCAAAATAGAAGCTGAAAGACAACTCCAACTAAACATGGTACAAAACAATGTTTGTTTTCTAATTCTTTAGGTTCTTAAATAAACAGTCCCAGAAAGATCTATTAATTCTAATGTATGAGAACATGCATTTCTTTTTAATTCACTCAGGGGATGTGGACATTGCTGACATTTATTGCTGAACCCTAGTTGCCTTTGAGAAGGTAGTGGTGAGCTACCATGTGCTGTAGGTTGATGCACAATGCCCTTAGGGAGGGAATTCCAGGATTTTGACCCAGCGACAGTGAAGGAACAGTGATGTATTTCCAAGTCAGGATGGTGAGTGGCTTGGAGGGGAACTTGCAGCTGTTGGTTCCTATGCTTCTGCTGCCCTCGTCCTTCTAGATGGAAGTGGTCACGGATTTGGAAGATGCTATCTAAGGAATTGCTGTCCTTTGAAGAAAATCTTGACAACATTCTTTATATTAGAACATAAATATTATACTTAGTTTAAAATACTGGTACCTTTCATTTCAACCAATTGTTCTGAGACTACGAACTGGGGTAATGCCATTCAGCCCATCAAGGTTGCTCTGCCATTTAATACAATCATGGTAGCTTAAAAACTTCAACGTCTTTAACCCACACTACCCCCCAAATTACTCTCTACTTTAAGCTTAGTTAAAAGCTGAGCTTTCACTGCCCTTTGGGACAGAGAACTTCAAAGATTCACAATCCTGAGTAAAAACAATATTTCCTCATGTCAGTCCTAAATGGAATGCGCTATATTTTTAAATTGTGCCCTCTGTTCCAGACTCAATTGGGGAAACATCTTATCTGTATCTATCCTGTATTTTCTCAGTTTGAATGACAGTTTCTCTCATTTTTCACAACTTGAGAGAATACTGGCCCTGTTTACCCAATGACTTTTCATAGGCATTCACAGGTCTTTGAGTCTGGTGAACCTCTGTTGCACCCCACCTAATGGCAATAATAACCTTTCTGAGGAAGAAGATCAAAACTACACTCAGTATTCTGAGCCTAGAACCCAAGGTCTTAGTTTATAGATAAGGTTTAAACATTTTAGTAGAGATGAGAGGAATTATTTTCTGTGGCGAGAGTGGTGAGCCTGTGGAATTCACTACAACAGAGAGTGATTGAGGCCAAAACAATGTGTTTTCAGGACGGAGGTAGAGATAGCTTGTGTGGCTAAAGTGGTCAAGGGATATGGGGGAGGCCAGGATTAGGGTATTGAGCTTAATGATCAGCCACGATCATACTGAATGGCATAGCAGGCTCAAGGGGTCAAGTGGTCTACACCTGCTCCTATTTTCTATGTTTCTCACACACATCTGGATTAAATTCCATTTGTCACTGATCAGCCCATCTGTACCCTCTTGTAATCGAAGACTATCCTCCTCACTAGTTGCCAGCCCACCAACTGTTGTAACATTTGCAAACTTACTGAGCAACCCTCCTACATTCAAGCAAACAGCAAGGGCCTCAACACTGATACCTGTGGGACCCAACTGGGCACAGAATTCCAGTCACAAAAACACCCCTCGACCATTACCATCCAGTTCCTGCCACTCAGCCCTTTCTGGGTCCAATTAGCCAAACTCCCTTGGATCCCATGGGCTCTCAACCTTTGCTATCAGTCTCCCATGTGGGACATATTAAAAGCTTTGCTGAAGTCCAAGTAGATTACGTCAAATGCATTGCCCTCATCTACATACCTGGTTTTCTCTTCAAAAAATTCAATCAAGTCAGTCAGACATGGCCAGCCCTTAAAAAAAAAACCATGCTGACTATTCTTGATTAATCCCTTGCCTCTCCAAGTGCAGATTAATTCTGTCCCTCGGAATTCGTTCCGATAATTTCCCCACCATTGAGTGTAGACTCACTGGTCTATGGTTTCCTGGTTTATCCCTTACTCCCTTCTTGAAAAACGATACCACAGTGGCTGTGCTCCAGTCCTCCAGCACCTCTCCTATGGCCACGGAGGAATTCACAATTGCTGCCGACACCCATTTCCTCTTTTGCCCCACTCAACAGCATGGGATACATTTCATCCAGCCTTGGAGATTTATCTACTTTTAAGCCTGCCAGATCACACAGAACCTCTTCGCGGTCTATGCTAATTTCTTTCAATATATCACAGTCTTTCTCCCTGATTTTTTATAACCACATTGTTCCTCTGAAGAGGGAATACCATCACAAAGTCTTCATTTAGAACTCTACCTAGATCCTCTGGTTCCACATACAAATTACTGTAGTCCTTAATGGGTCCTACCTTCTCCCCAGGTGTCCTTTGATCCTTAATGTATTTGTAAAATAACTTAAGATTTTCCTATATTTTCTTGCCATTATTTTCATGCGCCTTTTTGCTCTCATAATTTCCTTTCCAATTTTCCCGTTGCACATTCTGAACTTCTCTAGGGCTCCTAATATTTTGAATCATCAGTATCTCACAGAATCTCAGTACCCTCAGTATCATAAGCCTCCCTTTTCTCTTAATCCAATACAATACATCCATGATATCCAAAGGTTCACAGAATTTGTTGTTCCAACCTTTATCTTCCTTGGAAGGTATTGGCCCTCAACTCTCCCTATTTTCTTCTTGAATGCATCCCACTACTCTGATACAGATTTATCTCCAAGCATCTACTTCCAGTCCACTCCTGCCAAATCAGATCAGATCTTATTAAAATCAGCCTTTCCCCAGTTTCGAAGTTTGATTTCATGCCCATCCTTGCCCTTTTTAAATAACAATCACGAATCTAACAGAGTTAGACCACTGTCTGCCAAATGGTCCCCACTGATACTTCAACCACTTTCCTGGTGTGAGTTTCTAAAATTTTCCTTCATTTTCCCTCTCTTGTAGGGCCTAAAGACTTGCTTAAAAAGCTCTTCTGGATGCACTTCATGAATTCCACTTCCTCTCAACCTTTCACACTATGATGACTCCAGTTAATGTTGGGGATATTAAAATCCCCTACTATCACTACCTACTAATTTTACACTTCTCTGACACTTGCTTACCGATTTGCTCTTCTATTTCTCTCGGACTGTTGGGGGCACCTTGTACAATCCCAGCATTGTGATTGCTCCTTTTTGGTTTTTAAGTTCTGTTTGTATGGCTTCATTTGAGGAGCCTTCCAAAACGTCATCCCCGGATCAATATTGTGCCATCCTCTCCTCTTTTACTTCTTTCCTGTCTCTCCTGGAATACTGAGCAGCCAATTCTGTCCTTCTCTCAATCGTGGATCAGTAATAGCAATGACATCATACATTAACTTGTGCCTTCAACTCATCTGCATTGTGCATCAGACTCCTTGCATTAAAGTAAATATCCTCCAACCTTAGCAACTCCCTTGTGCCTTAACTGGTCTATAATTTCTATGCCTTCTTGACGCCCCTGCTGATAATTTTGGCAGTTTATCTCTCCCTGCTGAACCTTTTCTTTGGATCCTACCCTCTGCTAAGTTAGTTGAAACCCTCCCCGCAGCACTAAGAAACTTCCCTGCAATGATTACTACACTTTGGTTCCATTCTTTAATCTACTTCCTGGCTCCCTCGGCCCTTTAACTACATATGCCCTTGGTAGCATTATATACCACAACGTGTATCTGTTTACCTTCCTTCTTCAGAATGCCCTACAGCCAGTGACATCCCTGACCCTGATACCAGGGAGGAAACATTCTAGAGTCTCTTCTGCGACTGCAGAAATGCCCGTCAATCGCTCTGACAATTGAATCCCCTACTACTGAAGCCCTGCTGTTCTTCTTCCTTCCCTCTTGAGCAGCAGAACCACCCATGGAGCCACGACGTTAGTTTCTACTGCACAGTCATCTCCCCAACCGTATATCCTTCAGAAAGGAAACGGCCACAGAAGACCCCTGCACTACCTGCCTTCCTCTCCTCTGCCTGATGGTCACCAATGCCCTTTCTGTCTGTTCAATTTTCACCTGCAGTTTGACCACCTCACTGAATATGCTGAACTTAGCTTTGTATCAGCCAATATATATTGTGAACAGCTGGGGTCCAAATACTGATCCTTTGGGTACCCCACTAGTCTCAGCCTGTCAATGTGGCGACGCCCATGAATTGTCACCCTGTCATAATGGATTTTTAGATTTTTCCCTACCACGAATATAATACTGACAGCGCTGTAGCTCTCTGTTTTCTCTCTTGCTCCCTTTTCAAATTAGGGTGACATTTGCTCACTTTCAATTGGCAGGTATCATTCCAGAATCTGTAAAATTTTTGAAAATGATCACCAATGCATCAAGTCTCTCTGTAGCCACCTCCTTCAAAACTCTGGAACATAGACCATCAGATGTTATGAGCATATCAACTTTCAGACCCATTACTCTCTACTGTGCAACCTTAAGAGTACTAGTTTCCTTCAACTTCTCATTCTCCCATGTCAACTGGATCTCTAATTATAAGACCATAAGACGTAGGAGCAAACATTAGGCCATTTGGCCCATCGAGTCTGCTCCGCCATTCAATCAAGGCTGATAAGTTTCTCAATCCCATTTTCCTGCTTTCTCTCTGTAACCCTTGATCCCCTTGGCAGTCAAGAACCTATCTATCTCAGTCTTAAATGTACTCAATGACCTGTCCTCCACAGCTTTCTGTGGCTGTGAATTCCATAGATTCACAATTCTCTGGCTGAAGAAGTTTCTCCTTATCTCCATTCTAAACGCTGTGACCTCGGGTCCTAGTCTCAAATCCTGGGAGTTTTACTGTATTTTCTTCAGTGAAATTAGATACCAGGTCATCATTTATTTTCTCTGCCATTTCTCTATTCCCATTATAATTTAACCTGACCCTTTTTGTATACATATAGAAGCTTTTGAAGTAGATTTTTTCGTTTTTGCTAGATTGCATTCATATTATGTTATCTCATTCGTATCAATTACTTGGTCTTCCTTTGCTTTTTCTATAATCCTCAGATTTACTGCCATTTCAGATAACTTTAGAAGCCTGTTCTTTTAACCTTACACAACCCTCAACTTACGTTGTTAGCCACAGTTGACTAACTTCTTTCAGTTTTTACACCTTGAAGGGATGTATAGTTGCTGTAAACTATGTAATTGTTCCTGCAAGGCACTCCCTTGCCTTTATAAAGTCATGTCTGTTAATTTATCTTCTCAATCCATCTCAGGTAATTTGTGCCTCACGCCTTCATTATTTGAAACACTCGTTTCAGATTAAGTTACATCACTTTCAAAAATCATGTAAAATTGTATCATATTGTGGTCGCTCATTTACAGTTGATCTTTTACGAGATTATTAACAAGCCCCTTTTCATTATGGAATACTAGATGTATGATATCCTGCTCTGTAGTCAATTTCCCAACATACTGCTCCAGAAAGCAATCCCCAAGACACTCTAGAATCTGGTCTCACACAGCTTTAACGTTCAATTACTTTACCCAGTTTAAATGTAGATCGAATCCAGAGGGGTCTTGCGGCACAGTGATAACATCCTTGCTTCTGAGCAAGGAGGTCTAACTGGCCCTGCAGATGTGAGATAATGTGTCTGAAAAGGTTGATTCAAAAAACAAGGGCTCTTATGGCACAACGGTAGTGTCCCTACCTCTGAGCCAAAAAGTCTGATATTAAGTCCTATCTGAAAAATGAACGAATTTGCAGATTGAAGTGATCTCTGATTACAGTGTTGTTCATGCTACATACCTCTTTCATCTCTTGATTAATACCATGTTCTACACTGCTATTACTATTTGGTGGCCTACAAATAACTCCAACCAGCTTCTGCTGTTCCTTAGTGTTCCTTAGCTCCACCCAAACAGATTCCACACTTTGTTTTCCCGATCCAAGATCCTCCATCCTAACTCATCTCATTACTTGAGAAAGGATGTACTGACACAGAGGGGGTGCAGAGGAGATTCACTATGTTGATTCCAGAGTTGAGAAGGTTGGCTTATGAGGAGAGGCGGAATAGACTGGGATTATACTCATTGGAATTTAGAAGAATAAGGGGTGGGTCTTGTAGAAACACATAAAATTATGAAGGGAATCGATAAGATAGAAGCAGGGAGGTTGAGCCCCTGGCAGGTGAAGCTAGAGCAAGAGGGTATTGCCTTAAAATTAAGGGGAGCAGATTTAAGACTGAATTGAGAAGGAACTTCTTCACCCAAAGGGTGGTGAATCTGTGGAATTCCATGTCCAGTGAAGTAGTTGAGGCTTCCTCTTTGAATGTTTTTAAAGTTAAGATAGATAATCTTTTGAATAATAAAGGAATTGAGGGTTACGGTGAGAAGTTGGGTAAGTGGAACTGAGGCCATGAAAAGATCAGCCAGATCTTGTTGAGCAGTGGAGCGGGCTGAATGGCCTACTCCTGCTCCTCATTCTTACATTGCATCTCCTTCACATGTAATACTCTAAACACCTCACCTCAAGCAGCTTCCACATTTGCCCAACAACATACTTCACTCTACAATTACTTAAACACAATTGTTTTCTCCAGCGACAATCCAATGTGAAAAGGAAATCTTGGCTGTTGAATTTTGTCACAATCGAAGGAGACATGAAAACTTCCAGTGCCTTAACCAAAAGCACAAAAATTAACTATATATAAGCAGTTGATTCCCCACGAAACAGTTCCTGCATTTCAAAGAAATGTATTATCTGTGAAGAGCTCTGACATGTCATGTGTCATCTCATCACTCAATTCAAATTGTTCAAACCAGTTTTCTCTTCTGTGTTGAAAAACCTCTAGTGTTTCATTGTCTGTAATGTGTTGAATTAAATCAACTTGGAATTTTCAAACTGCAGCCCAATGAATCCTTGGAGATGCACAAAGAAATCCTACAGGAATTAAGAAGTCATCATACCCTCTACTGTGCCTTACTAAAACAATCAATCATTCTCCAGTAATGATATTGTTTTAGCTGATACAGCCACTTCAATCTTTCACAATTTATGGCAAGGAATAATTAATGTTTGTAAGTGGGATCTACACATGCATGATGAAAAAACACTGATTCAATAGGTCATTGAAGCGAAAGTCTGGTTAAAGAAAATGTGCTCCTTTCTCCAGGATCATTCGGTATTGCTGCAACATTGCAAAAAAAGGATAAACCTTTTAAAATAAGTCACAAAAATAACAAACTTTAAATTTCATAATGTCAAGAAGCTGTATTTCTGTGTTTTTAATCTATGTTTCATAAACATTCTGAGCTTAGGCAGAATCAGAGATAGCATTATGATTGAGGCTACAATGTTGAGAGGAGATTAGGCCCGAAACGTCAGCCTCTCTGCTCCTATGATGCTGCTTGGCCTGCTGTGTTCATCCAGCCCTGCACCTTGTTGTCTCAGGAGATTAGACAGTCTGTTTACAATTTAGTCTTTACAACAAGTACAAATGACTTGGTACTTGTATCCAATGATATCCATTACTCTACCTTAAAAGGTTACCAGAGTGTAGATTGTTGACCTTACCATGCTGCTGTTTAGGTTTTTGTCCACCCTGCAGAAAGTGTGCGGTGGAGTCTCCCCTTTACTCGGGATAATTATACAAATATCAGTGACAGCCAAGGAATTCTGGGCCATGTTTTCTGATGCACGACGATATGTTATGTAGATTCGTTGAGATGAAGTTCCGCCACTGATATTAGCAGGTCGGCCGTAAGGCGTGGTTTGAATGATCTGACATCCATGCTTTAGCCTCTCTTTCCATTCATATAAAACTCTAAAAAATAAAATAGGTAGATTAGCAGCTAGGAAAGTCCTGTAAAGCACAATGACACTCGACTGATTGTGAAGCCTGCTTGATGAAGCACAAAGTTAGAGCTTGGAATAACATATGATGCATTTAGAACTCAGAAAATGAGTTGTTTATCTAAACTATCACAAATCAAATAGATGTTCAATGTTAAATATGCTAGAACTCATTTATAAACAAATACCAAAATTATCAATCTAAGAAAATGGCTATTAAGAACTCTTTCAAAGCTTATTATGCTAATCTAAGAAAACCACACTTTAAATTAATTTCAGCTTTGTCACGGGTTATCTTACTGCAATAATCCAGCTGCAAACATTAAATGATCAAGAGTATTCTAATTGCCCACTAATAGGTTATGCTAACATATGAGGAAAAGTCAAATATTTTAAAAAGTTAGTTAAAAACTGGGCCTGTATTCACTTGAAGAATGAGAATGGATATTGTTGAAACACAAAATTGTTACAGTACACCACAGATGTTTTACCTGGCAGTGGGGTAGTTTGCAGAACTAGGGGCCACTGTCTCAGAATACACAATAATCCATTTTGGACTGAGATGAGAAAAAATCTTTCCAGAATGGTAAACCTGTTTAGCTCAAAACTGCAAAAGGCTGTGGAGGTCAGGTCATGGAACATAATTAAGAAATAAATGGATAGATTTCTAGAAGCTAAATGGTGTCCAGGGCCACAGGGAGACAGTGTGACTGAGATATTGTGAGAAGATCAGACACGATCATGTTAAGTGGGAGAACAAGCACAGCAGACTGAACGACCCACTCCTGCTTTTTAATTTTGACACTGCTGTCTTTGGATTACATTCCCTGAACTGATCTGAATTCTGCTGAACTATAAATCTAAACAGTTTTCAGAATCTGAAGTGACATCAAACTGCACTGACTTATAGAGAACATAACTGCAATTTTGAAGTCAGCATTCTGACTTTTCATTCAACCAAAATCAAATACCAGACAGTCTAATATAATTCCAACAGCAAACCACTAAGTTCACACAATGTAATTAAATGTAGTAAAGTATCCCCAGGTACGTAGGGAAGTGTCAGAAGAAGAACTGGACTTAAAAAGGCAAGAGACAGAGACAGACTGACAGACACACACACACACACCTAAAGAGAAAGCGAGAAGGAGAGGGAACGAGAGAGAGCGAGTAAGACAGAAGAGAGAAAGAAAGAGAGACATGGAGACACAGACCAAGGGAGGGGGACAGGCTCACACATGGACATAGAGACACACAGAGCATGGAGAGATTAATAAATTAGAATGAGGATTTTTGAATTCAGTGGGTACAAAATGTTATGCGTGGAACCTGCTTTCTTACGTAAAACAGGTGCAAAGGTTGGGATAGCCCGCTGCTGTAGTACTACTCAGGAAGCTCAATATCATCCATGGCAGAGCAGTTTGATTAAGAAGCAGTGCTTTAAGGAGAAGGTCGTTTTCTCATTCTTGGGGCAATAACTACTGCTATGCCAGTATTGCTCACATCTAGAAAACAAAAACGCCTGAAAGTAACTGATTGAAGCATGACTCCATCTTGCTTCAAATTGAAAAAAAACCTTTGCATCACATCTTTGATGGGAAACTTAAAATATATTGAAAGTTAAAATTGATTACAGTTAGTTGCATTGTTTCCTGTGTTCAAATACACAATGCAGAAATATTTGCTAGGCGTATCTACCATTGTATGGAGACTTTCAGGGCAATCCATTTCTCACAACAATAAAGTTACACATATTCGTGCAACAGCTGGGTAAGAACGTTTATAGTACCTTTGACACATTCTTGATGCATGTTACAAGCTGGAAAAACCCTGTGGCTATACTAGCCTGACAACATCCAACCTTGTCTGATCTCGGAAGCTGAGCAAACTCAGGCCTGGACGACTACCTGGAAATACCCCAGGTGCAAAAGGCTTAGACGTCTTGTGGCAGTGATAGCTTCCCTAGCTCTGTACCAGAGGGTCTGGGTTAAATTCCTAACCGCCATAGAAATGTGTCATAATAGTCCAAACGGCCTGACATAAAAGAGAGTTGAAGACACTGGTGGGGGTCAAATGCAACTTGATGCTGGATAACAAAACGGAAAGCAACACTCACGTAGGCACAGTTGGTGATGAGCAGTACCTTTTGCAACTTTGTGATGATAAAAATCAAATTATTTCTTAAAATCTTTGTCTACAGTTTCCAATTTATGTAGTAATCAAATTATTCCCTTATCAAAAATTTAGGGCACAAATACACAGCTTCACATTTACAATGCAACCCAAATTCAGATTTTTCTCAGATTACATTTATTATATGTAGTCATTGCCATTTTTGTCATCCAAAATGTGACCCCATGGATAATAAGCACATTTTTTTATTTATTGTGTTAAACCACATAGAATTCCCCACTCTGCAAAAATGGAAGTTTAAAAAATTGACCACATTTTTACAGCAAGATTAATCATGTAGCCCATGGCAAGCACCTTATGATTAATTATAATTAGGGCGGCACGGTGGCTCAGTGGTTAGCACTGCTACCTCACAGCGCCAGGGTCTCGGGTTCAATTCCACTCTTGGGCAACTGTGTGTGTGGAGTTTACACATTCTCCCCATGTCTGCGTGGGTTTCCTCCGGTTTCCTGCCACAGTCTAAAGATGTGCAGGCTAGGTGGATTGGCTATAAAAAATTGCCCATAGTGTTGAGGGATGCGTAGATTAGGTGAGTTATAGGGGAATGGGTCTGGGTGGGATGCTCTGAGAGTCAGTGTGGTCTTGTTGGGCCGAAGGGCCTGTTTCCACACTAAGGATTCTATGAATACAACTGCTTCATCTATTTATCCAGACAAACTAACAAGATACTGCTCTGAAAAAAATGTGCAACACAAGATTTTTTGTTCGAGAATTGTATTAACTGGAGGTTTCAAGACTGAGACCGCTAAGATTTTTGTTAAGCAAAGTACCAAGGGTTGTGGAGCTATGGGTATAAATGGAATGGAGGTTCATGTCAGCCTTGACCAAACTGAATGGTCAAGGGATTGAACAAACTTTTCTTCCAAGCATTAATCGGTCAGACGGACTGTAAAATGTACATTACAGCAAAAGATTGCACAAATATAATTTGAAGCTACTACAAAGTGTCTTTTTATTGTATATGAATAATTATTATACATTATATTAAGCACATAAACTGGCCTTCGGTTCAATGGGTCCAAGCTGGTATTTATACTTCATTTGTTTCTTCTACCTTCCTTCATCTAACCTCATCAACAGTTTTCAAATGTTTTTCTGCATGTGCTCGTTATCACAAAGTGGCAATCTATGGAATGTTAATCTTTAATTCTATTGACTGATTCGATACCTGGAGTTTTATTTTGAAATAAAACATTAAATGAGTCAGGACTCACACAAAATGGCTGCACAAAAGATAGAAAAGGGAAAGAAGTAAAAGTGGTAATGTTTTTGGTTAAGGAAACCACTGCAGTGTTTGAGAAAGACGTTGTTTCGGGGGCTCAGGACAGAACCCTCTTGCTTTGAATTAGGGAACAAAAAGGGTGAAATTATGTTGCTCAGTGTAGTCTCCACATTGCCCACTCAAGAAAAGTGGAGGAATAACTCTGAAAAGAAATTACGGAATTCAAGGGATCATAGAGTATTTACAGTGGGGGACTTCAATTATTCAAATATAGATTTTGATAGTGGTAGTGACCATTAAGCCTAATTCTGCACCTTTCATTCCATCGGGTCTGCTCCATCATTCAATCATGGATGGTATGTTTCTCAATCCCCTTCTCCTGCCTTCGTCCTGTAACCCTTGATTCCTTCACTAATCAAGAACCTATCTATCTTGGTCTTAAAGCCACTCCATGATTTGGCCTTCACAGCCGTCTCTGACAATGACTTCCACAGATTCACCACCCTCTGAATGAAGAAATTCCTCCTCAGCTCAGTTCTAAACATTTTCTCCACATCCATTCTATCCAGGCCTCTCGGTATTCCATAAGTTTTGATGACAGCCCCCCAATCCTGCTATTCTCAACTGAGTACAGAGCAAGAGTTCTCAACCGTTCCTCATATGACAAGCCTTTCATCCCGTGGATCATTCTTGTAAACCTCCTCTGGACCCTCTCCAACACCAGCACATCCTTCCTTAGATATGGAGCCCAAATCTGCTGACGATATTCCAAACGTGATCTGACCAGAACCTTTACAGTCTCAGCAGTACATCTCTGCTCCTGTATTGCAGCCCTCTCAAAATGAATGCTAACCTTGCATTTGCCTTCCTAACAGCCAAATGAACTTGAAAGTTAATCTGAAGAGAATCCTGAACAAGGATTCCCAAGTCTCCTTCAGATTTCCAAAGACTTGCCCTGTCATCACAGCGGAATTCTAGGAGACATCGCCACAGTCATCATGACTGTACAGCAAGTCAGAGAGAACCTGCTGTCAAGGTGTGGTTAAACCTAAAACCTGTGATGAGGACAACTGGCAACGTAAAAGTGTACAACAGAGCAGCCATTAAAGGGAGTGGGCCAGCGTTAGAGTGGAAATACTGAAGACCCTGTTCGAGGGGTTTCGACATGAAGAGGCTAAGCAGGGGTACAGGTAAGCGCTCTTTAACCCTGCTTTCTTTTGATTTAGAATGAAAGCAGTATGGATGGCAATTAGGGCAATGGCATGCTCCTCTTCCAGGACGTGGGGATCAGGGAGACTTCCAGTGTCCCTGGTAGCGACACCTGTCAAAAGTGCACCTGGCTGCAGCTCTTGAACGACTGCATTAGAGAACGGGAGTTGGACCTGGATAAATTCAGGATCATCCGGGGTGCAGAAAACATCACTGATAAGAGCTACACTGAAGTGGTCACTCCTGAGGTGCAGGTTGCAGGTAGCTGGGTGACCACCAGATAAAGTTTGGGGGGGCAGGGGTGGGGGTGTAGATGGCCACAGGAGAACCCAGTACTATTCCCCTCA